AGAAGGAGAGATAAAGAGTTTCCCAGACAAACAAAAACTAAAGGAGTTCATGACCACTAAACCAGCCCTGCGAGAAATTTTAAGAGGGACTCTTTGAGTACAGAAAAGACAAAACAAAACAAAACAGACCAAAAGCAACAAAGACTAGAAAGGAGCAAAGACATCACCAGAAACACCAACTCTACAGGCAACACAATAGCACTAAATTCATGTCTTTCATTACTCACTCTAAATGTCAATGGACTAAACACTCCAATCAACAGACACAGGGTATCAGAATGGATAAGAAAACAAGACCCATCTATATGCTGCTTACAGGAAGGTCATTTTAGACACAAAGGCACCTGCAGGTTGAAAGTGAGGGGATGGAGAACCACCTATCATGCTAATGGTCATCAAAAGAAAGCCAGAGTAGCCATACTTACGTCAGACAAACTAGATTTTAAAATATAGACTGTAACAAACGATGAAGAATGGCATTATATCATAATTCAGGGGTATATCCACCATGAAGATCTAACAATTGTAAATGTTTATGCCCCCAAATATATAAATCAATTAATCACAAACAGAAAGAAACTCATTAATAATAATACTATAATAGTAGGGGATTTCAACACACCACTTATAGCAATAGATCATCTAATCAGAAAATCAACAAGGAGACAATCGCTTTGAATAATACACTAGACCAGATGAACTTAACAGATATATTTAAAACCTTTCATTCTATCTTTAAAAAATAAATAAATAAAATAAAACCTTTCATTCTAAAAGAGTGGAATACACATTCTTTCCAAGTACACATAGAACATTCTCCAGAAGAGATTACAACTGGATCACAAATCGGCCCTCAACTAGTACAAAAATATTGAGATCATATTTTCAGAACACAATGCTATGAAATTAGAAGTCAACCACAAGAAAAAATTTGGAAATCTCTCACATATATGGAGGTTAAAGGACATACTACTAAAGAATGAGTTGGTTAACCAGGAAATCAAAAAGGAAATAAAATAGAACAGGAAAGCAAATGAAAGTAAATACATGACAGTCTGAAACCTTTGGGATGCAGCAAAATCAGTACTAAGAGAAAAGTATATTGCAATACAGGTCTACCTCAAGAAGCAAGAAAGATCTCAAATACAAAACCTAACCTAAAGGAGCTAGAACAGTAACAGCAAATAAAGCCTAAAGCTAGCAGAAGAAGGGAAATAATAAAGGCTAGAGCATAAATAAATAATATAGAAACAAACAAACAAACAAACAAACAAACAGAAAAACCAGTAAAACATACCAAGAAAACTAATCAAACTTATCAAAAAGAAAAGACAAAGGGCCTAAATAAATAAAATCACAAATGAAAGGGAAAAAATCCCAACCAACACCTCAGAAATACAGTTATAAGAGAATATTATGAAAAAATATATGCCAGAAAACTGGGCAATCTGGAATAAATGGATAAATTCCTAGAAACATGTAAAGTACCAAAACTGAAACAGAAAGAAATATAAAATTTGATCAGACCCATAACCAGTAAAGAAATTGAATCAAGAATCAAAAATCTCCCAACAAACAAGAATCCAGGGCCAGATGGCTTTCCAGGGAAATTCTACAAAACATATAAAGAAGAGTTAACACCTATTCTTTTGAAGCTGTTCCAAAAAATAGAAATGGAAGGAAAACTTCCAAACTCATTCTATGAGGCAAGCATTACCTTGATTACAAAACCAAATAAAGACCCCACTGAAAAGAACTACAGACTAATTTCCTTGATGATAATGGATGCAAAAATTCTCAACAAGATACAACCAGATTCAACAATACATTAAACCAGATCCAACAATATATTAAATGGATTATTCACCACTATCAAGTAGGATTTATTCCTGGGATGCAGGGTTGGCTCAATAGTCACAAATTAATCAATGTGATACATCACATTAATAAAAGAAAGGATAAGAATCACATGATTCTCTCAACAGATGCAGAAAAAGCATTTGACAAAATACAACATCCTTTATTGATAAAAACTTTCAAGAAACTAGGGATAGAAGGATCATACCTCAAGATCATAAGGGCCATATATGAAAGACCCACTGCTAATATAATCCTCAATGGAGAAAAACTGAGAGCTTTCCCTTTAAAGTGAGGAACATGACAAAGATGTCCACTCTCACCACTGTTATTCAGCATAGTGTTGGAAGTCTCAGGAATCAGACAACACAAAGAAATGAAAGGCATCCAAATTAGCAATGAGAAAATCAAATTTCACTCTTTGCAGATGACATGATACTCTATGTGGAAAACCCAAAAGACTCCATCAAACAACTGCTAGGACTGATATATAAGTTCAGCAACGTCACAGGACATAAAATCAATGTACATAAATTGGTTGCATTTCTATATGCCAATGATGAAGCAGCAGAAAGGGAAATCAAGGACTCTCTCCCATTTATAATTGCACCAAGAACCATAAAATACCTAAAAATAAACCTAACAAAAGAGATGAAAAATATGTACACTGAAAACTATAGAAAGCTTAAGAAAGAAATTGAAAAAGACACAAAAAAAAATGGAAAAGCATTCCATGTTTATGGATTGGAAGAACAAATGTTGTTAAAATGTCTCTACTACTGAAAGCAATCTATATTTTCAATGTGATCCCTATCAAAATAACATCAGAATTCATCACAGAGATAGAACAAACAATTCTACAATTTGTATGGAACCAGAAAAGATCTTAAATAGCCAAAGCAATCATGAAAAAGAAAAACAAAGCTAAAGGCATCACAGTTCTGAACTTTAAGCTTTATTACAATGCTCTAATTATCAAGACAGCATGGCATTGGCACAAAAACAGACACATAGATCAATGGACTAGAATAGAGAACCTAGAAATGGACCAACAAACACATAACCAACTACTCTCTCACAAATCAGGAAAGAATATCCAGTGGAAAAAAAGACAGTCTCTTCAGCAAATGATATTGGGAAAACTGGACAGCAACATGCAGAAGAATGAACCTGGACCACTTTCTTATACCATACACAAAAGTAAACTCAAAATGGATGAAAGACCTAAATGTAAGACAGGAAGCCATCAAAATCCAGAGGAGAAAACAGGCAGCAACTCTTTGACACTGGCCACAGCAACTTTTTACTTGTCATGTCCCCGGAAAGGGGTGTAAGTGCTTGCCAATGTGGAAAACTAAGATAAATTAAAAATTAAATTCCCAGTGACATGTCCTTGAAACTGGCAGAGTGACCTCCCTCTAGGAGCTCAGCTGCCTCGATGATGACACTTTGGTAGGGGCAAAAGAGAACCTTAGCTTAACATTATCCCACCTCGAGGATCCTGTAAGTCTACTTCCTTTAACTCAACTCCCCAAGATATATGCCAGCAATCATACTCCAAGTTTATGGCCCCCTGATTTACATCTGAAGGGTCTCATGACTGGGGTTTTACTAAACAGTAATAAATAGCATTTCCCTAGCAACAGCTAGCCCCTCAAGGTCCTGGAAACCTTTCTTCCAAAATACCTTAGAGACTTACTCTATCCCTGACCCCTTCTCAACCTGAGAAAGTTACTGAGTTACCCATTGAGACCCCAGTGCAGTTCTTTCTGCCCATGGGTCCTGTCCCCGTGCTTTAATAAAATCACCTTTTTGCACCAAAGACATCTTCAAGAATTCTTTCTTGGCTGTCGGCTCCAGACCACCCTACCATCACCCCCAAAATTTCATCAGAAATACTTAAGTAATTCAAAGGGTTGTTATTTATTTATTTATTTATTTATTTATTTATTTATTTATTGTTAATCTCCTGACAAATTGCCCTAGTAACTCAAGGAAGTGAAGGAGAAAGCAGCTGTCTCACCATCCAGATATTGATTTGTTCAGATGTTTCAATGCCTGATGGTACAATAAAACCACAAAAAAAATTCTTTAAAAAAAGAATTATTAACACAGAGAAAGAGACCAAGGTTTGGGTCTGAGGGAGAGCTGGTATCCTGGCCAGCCAGAGAAGGGGGAGAGGGTGACAAGAATACAAGGGAAAGTCAAAGGACAGGGAGGATGTGGTGTTCACTTGGCTGGCTGCTCTTGTTCCAGTGCCCTGTGATCCAGCAGCCCCCGTGTCTCCATTGCTTCCTGTCACTCCATACTGCCCACAGCTCTGCTGAGATGGGTTCAGTAGACAGAGACCCCTGGCCTGACTTCCACCTGCTGGGGCATCAGGGGAGTATGTGTTGCTAAGACAGAAGCTCCCCAAAAGGAAGAGATGCGTGTTTGCATGAGTGTGTGTGTGTGTGTGTGTGACACAAACATATGGAAAAAGAAGGAGAAGAAGTGGGAGCAAGCTTGCCAACCATGGCAGGGTGTTCTTGCTCCTCTGCCAGGTCCAGCTGCAGATGGAGATGGAGGAGGAGGGCTGTGGGTGTCCCCTGACCATTTAAATCCACCCAGCCACAGAGGATCAGTGGGATCCTGCTGGGCCCTGGAGGGTGAAGAGGGGCTCTTCTTGTTCTTCCCTAGATGAGGGATGATGGCCAGACCCTGGCAGACCCCACAACTCCTGCTGGCCATCCTGGTGGCCCTGGTGGCCCTCACCCACCAAGAAAGAAGGAAAACCTTTATGAGTGTCGAAGAAGTGCCTGTGTCAGAGCCCCAGGTGATAGCCACCTTGCAGTTTGTGATCAACGACTTCAACAAGAAGAGTGATGACAAGTACAATTTCCGGATTGTGCGGGTCCTGAAGGTCCAGAAGCAGGTCAGCACAGCCCCCCTCTCCTAGTCATGCTCCTCCAAGGGGACTCTCCAAAGGGGACACCCACACAAGTGAAATTCAGCCTTGGTTAGTTTCACGTGGGCATTTTAAGAAAAACATAAATTCACTGGAATGGATGAAGTCACTTAAATGATACCTAAGACTAGGGATTGACAGATTATACCCCAATAGCCAAGTAAGCCTGCTGCCTGTTTTTGTAAGCAGTTTTATTGGTTCCCAGCCACACCATGCATGCACATATCATCCAGGACTGCTTTCGAGCTGCTGCAGCAGAGTGGAATACTTGCAACTGAGACCCCATGGCCTGAGAAGCTTAAAATCTTAACTATCTAGCCCCTTTCAGACAAAGTTTACAGACTCTTACTCAGACAGTTAGCATCATTTTAGTTGTCTAAAGAGTGTCTTTGCTCAGAGATTGGTTTCTGGAGAACCTCCTTGCATGGCAAATGGAGGCATAGGTGTCAGATAGGAAGGGGAGAGAGAAGCCCAACAACTTGTCCAGGATGAGATCCTTAACCTTAGGCACCTTTCAAAGGAGTTCTTGCCACCAGAATCTAAAAATAAAGGACAAGAAGTCCTTTTATCTTCTTTCCACTTGCTCCCCACAGGTTACTGACCACATGGAGTATCATGTGAACATGGAGATGCGGCGGACCACCTGTCAAAAGCTGGAGACTACTAACTGCATGTTTCAAGAAGGGGAACTTTATAAGGTACTGGGTGAATGCACATTAACTCAGAAAGAAGTCACTGGGATTTTCTGTGCTTTTAGGATGAGGTGGGGTAGAATTATTGGGGATATATTGAAGCTTACTTGAGAAGAAAACATAGGCTTGCTCAAAGAGGAAAAGTGAAGGTAAGAGTGATCAAGATCCTGCCTGGCAGGCACTGCTCCTTTGTTGGAAGAATTATGGGAGGTGGAAGGGGTCCAGATGGGGAAAGCCAGATGGGGGTGGCTGAGCTGAGGGGGGCAATTGGCGGCTGAGAAAAGTAATATTTTAGCAGCCAGTGGGACCTTATTGTTGCACCCAGCTAAATACCTGAACAATAGCCTGATGGGAGCACACAGTTACTGGGCTACAAGCCTCTTCCTTTCATCAAGCAGTGTTTGGGCAAATAGGAGGAGACAAGAAAATGGGTTCAAAAATATTTCAACAGGGGGTAGGTGGTGAGGAAGACAGAGGTGGTTACAAACCTGCATGTGTGTGATCTACTGAGAAGCTACCTCCCCCAACAATGGCTTACTTCCCTAAGCATTTCATTCCCACCAAGTGTGGTCATATATGAGGGATGCTGACCTGACCATCACCACTGCAATGTGCACAGTTGGGATGGGCCCACTTGCACAAGGACCTTAAAAGTCTCAAGTCCTATAAGCCCTGAAAATCACTATGAGGATGATCATATGTCCCACCTTGCCTGAAATAGTTCTGATTTATGCCTAGCTTCTTGTAATCATTTACAGGAGCTCCGAAGGCTTACAATGTGTCCTGATCCGGTTCATAAATTCTGTGGTCACCCTGGTTATAGTGATCTGGATGTTATCAACACAGAAATATGTCCATCCCTTTATCACCTTCCACATAGAAATTTTTCAAAATCTAGCAAAGCAGACTTTCTTGGTTCTTCCCTGGAGAAGATCATGAAACCTATGAAAAGAATAACTGGATAGAACAGTAGAGTTAGAGGATCTCCTTGATGTGAGTGATTGAACTGGTGGAGTTGGTATTCTGATTTCCATTTTAGGAGAAATATAAGTGTTTAAGCCTCCCATCCCCTTGGCTTTCAAATGAAGAGCAAGAAAACAAAATTATACTAGGAAGTTATGTTTATTGATTTTTCATTATGGGACAAAAAGGAAGTGAAAAAGAAAAATCTTGGGAGAGAATAGGGACACGGTAAGGAGAGAGAGGGTATGATGGGTGAATGGCTGGACAGACAAATGAAGAAAGGTACAAGGAAGGAAATATGGATGGCAATGGGTGGGTAAGTGGATGGATGGATGGATGGTTGGATGGATGGATGGATGGATGGAGCCAGAAGAGGCCAAAAAAGGGAAAGTGTGAAGTAAATAACACAATAACTAAAAATAGAGAGGAAAAAATAATTATTAGTTATTGTGACTATGGCAGGAGGGACCCTTTTCTAGTCTCCAATTTTAGACTTTTAAAATGTCTCTTTTAAAATTTTCACTTTGCATGTTGACCTTTTTTAAATATTGTTTTTGTTTTTTAGCAAATTGAGTGCTTCTACTCAGTGTTTGTTGTTCCCTGGTTTGAAAAGTACAAAATTCTGAACAAAAACTGCACCGATGGCTAGGTGTCCTGAAGCACATATCAGCAATCATACATTAAAATATCATGCAATAAGCAGTAATTCTCAATATAGAAAATAAATGTTTGTCAAACTATTATCTCAACACTCTTAATGTTTATTAGTCCACTTCCCCCCTAAACTCTTCAGCTCATAATAATGTAATCTGAAGGTATTCTGAGCTAGGATAGTTTTAGTATTCTAATGAAGTGACATAGATAATTCCTGGCCTTATAGCCTATACCTGCATGATAGGAGAACTTCAACCCTATCCTCATATCAAGTAGGAGTCTTCAGACTTTACAGTAAGTAAAAAATGAGGAGGAGGAGGAGGAGGAGGAAGAGGAGGAAGAGGAGGAAGAGAAGGAGGGAAGAAGTTCTAAGTTATTTACCTGATTAAACAAGAGATGTTTGTAAGTATGGCCTACAATGCCATCTCTTAGGGGCCCAATGAGGACTACCTCTTTTCTTGCATAACGTGTTGAATAAGGAGAAATAATACACGTATTTTTTTTTTAAGATGAGCGTCTTTGTTACTGACAAGGATTAATTTGGGAGATATGCATTATTTTTGCAAGAAACTGCACTTTCTAATACCAAACTCTAACGTTAGACTTACACCCCCAGCATCAGCAAAATTGGACCAGAGCAGGTTTCTTCAGAGAAAACTTCCTCTTCTAGAGTTACCAAGGAAACTGCCTGTGTGGGAAGGAGGAGGAAGGAGACTACTATGCCTACATTATTCTTCCCAGATAGAACAATCAGAATAATTCCTCCAGGAGAGATATGACTAAGGATAGAGAGAAACCAGGAATGCCATGTTAAAGGGGATCCTTTCTCATGGGTGCCATATCAGCAGTGGGGAGTAAGCAACTCTCCCCTCCACCCAGCCAACAGTTTGATTCAGGATTTTGAACAATATCACCAATTTCATCTCTTCACTCCACTTCCTTCATGTAGTCTCAAGGGGGCTGCCAGCAGCTCACTGGGTCACATCTGTCCTCATCCTGTAGGGGAGAAAAAGATCTCATCCCCAAGAGCTGAGACAAAAGCCATGTGGTTTAATACCACTGGGGAACTCTAGGGACATTATAGGATACATAAACACACACACTCACACTCACACCTCTCTTTTTCACACACATGTGCACATGCACGTGCGTGCACACACACACACACACAGAGCATCACAGCATGTGTCTACCTGAAAGGAGTGAGAGTTAGGGTATTTATTGAACAGCCCCAGTCAATTATTGGGTGCAGAAAATCTCCTAGGAGGCATTAATTCCCTGGAACCCTGGGCGTGGTGTGGCTGGAGGGCAAAGCAGGCAGCCAGAGATAAAGGGGCATAGATGGGGCAATTGGAACTTTGGAGCTGGTGTGCATAGAAAGACAAGATGTGAGAGGATAAAAGTAGGGTGCCAACAGGATACTCTTTCCACATGTGGATTGTGCACTGGGATGCAAAGTAGACACACCAATTCTCTACCAGTTGGAGATAGCTGGGAGTTTTGAAAGAATAATATGTTTGCCTTTTATGCTCCCTACCAAAGTTCTGGAGTGCTGAAGACCTTGTTTCAGGTGAGGCCCAGGTAAGATTGCCCTCCACCAACTATCCAGAAAAATGCTAACTACAATTTACTCATCTTTAACTGAGAATAACAGTACCTATTTTGGGGTATAGTTATAAATATTAATGATGATAGTGCATGTAATTGCTTAACACCGTGCCTAACACAAAGCAAATATTTAAACAAATGTTAATGATTAGTAAGAATATTGGCATAGTAATTTAATATTAATCAGTCATTCAACTGTCTTCTGGCATTTTAACTACTTTGTCTGAAGGCAGTGGTTATTAACCTGGGGTATAATGAAGGAAAGGTAGAACATTTGTGCCCATTGATCTTTTGGATTTTTCAGATTTCTCAGCACACAGTGTTTTTTTTTATTTTTATTTTTGAAACAATAAAAAGAAGAAAGATACAGGATAGCACAGAGAGGTCTCTTGTACCCTTAATCTAGTTTCCTTGCATGGTTTTCCTTGCATATCTTTTGTACTTATAGAAAAATCCCATAAGCAGGGTGCCTGGGTGGCTCAGTTGGTTAAGCATCTGACTCTTGATACCAGCTCAGGTTGTGATCTCACACTCATGAGATTGAGCCTGCATCAGGCTCCACGCTGAGCATGGGGTCTGCTTAATATTTTTTCTCTCATTCTCTCTCTCTCTCTCAAAATAAATAAATATAAAAAAATAAAAAATATCACAAGCAGGAGATTGACACTGATATAGTTTGCATGTGTGTTATTTTGTCATATGTGTACATTTGTGTGACTATCACCATAATCACGATATAGAACTATTCCATCACCACAAAGATACTCTTACTAACCCTTTAGGGTCACATCTCCCTTTCCCCACCATCTGAAACTCCTGGCAACCACTAGCTTATTCTCCATCTCCTTAGTTGCGCCAGTTTTAGAATGTTATATAAATGGAATCAATACAGTATGTGAACTTTTGAGATTGGTGACAATGCCCTTGGGATCCATCCAATGTGTTCTATGTTATCATGAAATACTAGTATACTAATGGTATACTCCAAAGCCACAGTTTAACTATTTTAGGATGTGTTTGTTGTTTTCAAGTTTGGAGCTATCACAAGTAAAGCTTCTGTGAACAATCATTTACAGGTTTTTGTGTGGACATAAGTTTTCATTTCTCCAGGTTAAATGCTGAGGAGTGCAATTGCTGCATCATATGGTAAAGTATATTTTAGGGTATTCTTTTTTGTGAAAAAATAAACTGCCAAACTATGTTCCAAAAGATGTAGCACTATACACTGTCCCTCTATATCCCTGGTAATTTTCTTTACTCTGAAGTCTACTTTATCTGATATTAATATAGCTTCTCTTATTATGTTTGCATAATATAACTTGTTCATCCTTTCACTTTCAATCTTCTCATATCATTTTTTTTTTAATTTAGTTTCTTGTAGACAGTGTATAGGTTGGGTCATGTTTTATTTAACCCACTCTACCAATATCTGTCTTTTAATAGGCTTATTTAGACCATTTACATGTAGTTTGCATATACTATTTAGTATAATTACTGATACTTAGGGCTTAAGTATTTACTTTTGTTTTTTCTTCTCTGTTTTGTCTCTATTTTTTTTATTCTTCCCTCCTGTGAGTTACATGAACATTTTTTAAAGGAATTCCATTTTTATGTGTCTATACTATTTTTCAGTATATCTCTCTGCATAGCTTTCTTAGTGGTTGATCTAGATATGATATTATGTATACGTAACTTGTCAGTCTACTGGTGTTGATATTTTACCGCTCTAAATGAAGTATAGAAAGTTTACCTCCCTTTTATATCTTTATCATTCCTCATTTACAAATGTCCTAAATATTTCTTCTACATACATTGGGAACCACATCAGACAATGACATAATTTTTGTTTTAACCATCAAACATATTTTAGAAAACTCAAGAGAAAGAAAACCTATTGTATTTACCCATAGTTTTACTTTTTATGTTCTTTTCTGATGCTCCAAGAGTCCTTCTCTTATACTGCATTTCCTTTCTATTTAGATAACTTATTTTAGCTATTATTTTAATGTAGGTCTTCTGGTGCACATTCTTGAGTTTCCCTCCATGTGGGAATGGCTTGATTTCCCCTTTTATTCTTGAGGGATATTTCTGATGGATATAGGATTCTAGATTGACAGTTTTCTCTTTTAGCTCCTGAAAAACATTGCAGCACATCTGGTGTCCATGGTTTATTATGAGAAATCTGTTGTCATTCAAATTGGGTTTTTCCCCTAAAGAGAAGGTGGCTTTTCTCTCCTGTTTTCAAGATTTTTTTCTCAGTCTTTAAATGTCAGAAGCTTAACTCTGCTGTGTTTTAGTGTGGATTTGGGGGCGATTATCCCATTTAGGATTCACTCACTTTCTTAAATCTACAGGTTTTGATGTTTTGCCAAATTTAGGAAGTTCCTAATCATGATTACCTCAAATCATTTCCCCCCCCCCCCTTCTTTTTCTGGGATTCCAATGTGTTAGATATTTTGTAATATTCATACCAATTTCTGAGGCTTTGTTCACTTCTATTTGGTCAACTTTCTCACTGTTCAGATTGGGTAGTTTCCACTATTCTCGCTTCCAGTTCACTTATTTTTCCTCTATTCCTTCCATTCCACTGGTGAGCCCACCCATTTAATTTTGTATTTCAGTTATTTTAGTTTTCAATTCTAATGTTTCCAATTGTTTTTTCTTTACATCTTCTGTCTCTGTGAAGAGATTGTCTATATCTTTGCTGGGACTTCCCATTTGTTCATTTGTTTGAAGCATATTGATAATTGGTTATTGAAGCACTTTGATGATGACTGCTTTAAAATCCTTATCAGACGATTTTAAGATCTGTGTCATTTCTATGTTGCCATCTGTTCATTGCCTTTTCTCATTTAAGTTGACATTTCCCTCATTCTTAGTAGGACAAGTGATTTTCTATTAAAACCTGGGTGTTTTCATACTGTACCTCTGGATCTCACTTATATCTCTCTTAGCAAACCTTGACCGTGCTCTGAAGGAAAAAGAGACAACACCTCACCACTTCCAGGTGGAGACTGAAGGTCAGGTTGAAACAGGTGTGGGGAACCCTCATCACAGCTGGATGTGTAGGAGTTCAGCCTCCATGTACCCTGACCTCTGTTGCGGTGACTCTGACTCTCACTGGAAAGGGCAAGGGTGTCTCATCACTACTCCCCACATGTCTCTTCTCACACTAGCTCAGTGGGGAGAAACAGAAGTCTAGGCTCTCCACGTGGCCTCCAGTATCACCACAGGATGTGTGGGGCTTGTTGATACTCAATGGGGTGAAATTCCTGGCACCTTACTTGGCTTTCTCTGACTCCGTTTCAACATGAGTATTGGGATCCTCATTAAAGTCTCAAGAGGGTGAAAACCTATGTTCCCTACTCAGCCTTTGCTGGGAATGAG